GTGATTTCTCTCTCTCTGTCTCCAGTGAGTGCATGCACCCTGTAGCGAAAAATATCTCTAAAAATAAATAAATAAATAAATAAACAAAAGTTTTGGAGGGATTTATTCTGCTTAAGAGGCAGCTTTCCCAAATGCAGGTCCCACTATCCTGCCTTCCCCTAAAAAGGATGGAAACTTAAAAACCTTTCACATCACTGTATCAATCTATACAAAGTGAGAATCATAAGGGAGAGTTGAGAACAAAAATATAGGAAGGAGGTGGCCTCCTACATCTTCTTGAAAGTTGTCAGAGGAGCTAAAACATGAACGAGGGTTAAAGATGACCCTGAGTCAAGACTAACAGGTATGGACCTCCACCTGCTGACCAGCAGGCAGGACTCAGAAGCAGTCAGAGCTCAGTCTTTCTGGCAGGCATGGGACACTGACCATCTACACCAAGGACACTACTGAGAAACGTCGAGTCAGCACCCACCCCACCCCACCCCGCCCTTTGTTGGACCCGCCTTGTTACCTGTAGGTCATCATACAGGCTGCCACTCAAGTACATGTCCCGAAGTGGCATGTCAGGCAACTTGGCCCGCAGGAAGCTCCGGAGCTCGGCACATATGTCCACAGCAGCTTGCTTGGCCCGAGCCTGCTCTCCAGCAGGGATGGCAGCCCGGTTCCGGTAGTAAGTAAGAAGTTTCTCCTGCAGGGACATGCGGAGTCGTGACTTCTTCAAGTCTACCTGGCCCTTCCTGGCCAATGGCTTGGGCCGGGGTGGGCAGAATGTATCTGCCAAGGCAAGAGAGAGAGGCAAGTGAGCTCTTGCCGTGCCTGCTCAGTCCAGCTGCCTCGGCCCCAGAAAGAAGGGCTCAGCATGGGGGCAAGTGCTTGCACAGGCCCGGCGCACACGTGCCCAAGGAATGTCCGCTGAACGTAGCAGCAGGACAGAGAGGCAGAGGCATGTCCCAGGAGGGTAACAGCCTTTCTTACCTGCATCAAAGGCAGAGGAGTCTGTGGGAAGGGTCTGCAGGGACCGGCTCAGACCTGTCTTCATGTCCTTGTTCAGCAACCGGGGGGAACCCATCCAATTTGGTTCCTCCCAGCTCCTTTTCCCAGAATGGTTCAGGCGGGTGGGGCTGGTAGGGGCACTGATTGCTCGATCGTACATCTGAAATAGCAGAGAACACGGCACGTAGACCCGTAGACCCGCTGGCCTTCCTCTAGTGCCTTCCAGTTCCTCCATCCCCGAAACTCGCCCTCCTAAGTTCAAAGACTATCTTTGCTCCACGTAAATGATATAAGAAATAAACCTACCCATAGTGGCGCAATCTAGAAAAAAGTGTTACTATGTTGTATTTCTTTCTACAGAGATATTTCTGTAACTAGACTCACACTCCCTACTTCTGAAGCCTGACTTTTCACATTTAGCATATTGACCATGTCTTCCTATCACTAAGGATGTCTTATCATTTTCCGACAGTGTAACATACTTTATTAATACACCACAACAGTGAACAACACATATTTGATAAAGAGTTACTGAGTGCCTACTGTGTGCTGGGCATTGCTCTAGGTGATAAGAATAGAGCAGCCAACCAGAGATTCAAATCCCTGCCCTCGTGGAGGCTTCAATTTGCTAGGTGGAAGCAGGCAGTTCGCAGTAAGTGAGCTACACAGAAAGTCTGCAGAGATATGTCAAGAGAAGCGAGGTCAGAACGGGAACTAGGAGGTTTACGCATGGTCGGAGTTGCTATTTAAATGAGCAGTTGAGGAAAGTATTTTGGTTACTGCAGTGTCTTACTTGTTGGGATAAATTTCATATGTAACTCTACTTACTTCCTTGGGCAGAGTCCTGACAGTAGACTGAGTTCTCGTAAGGTCTCAACTAATAACGGCAAATTACCAGTGGCCTGTCCAGGCCTTGTTCCTTGAGCTCAGCTTCACGGAGGCTACCTACCACATCCCGTCCCTGGCCCTGGCTGCACACACTTACCCGCTTAACTGCCAGTGTGGCAATGCCCAGCATGGCTGCTCCACCCACCCCCAGCACCAGTCGGGCATTGGAGAGCACGAAGTCGATGGCTGTACCGATGCCATTGTCATCCTTCTTGCCTTTGCGCTCCCCGGCGCCTGCCATTGCTCTCCTGAGGAGGAAGACAGATCGCGGCCATCACATCTGGTACATTAAGAACCGCCCCTCCACCATCAGGCCAACCCCCAGCTGGTTCAGGGTACGCCGAGTCCCAGCAATTCATATCCTCTCGCATCTAGCACTGCGTGCTCTCAGGTCTAAGGAGAGGTACGACGTCCCAGGAGGTCTCCAGGGGTCGGAACGGATGATGCCACTACTGTGGGAAAACTTCCACTAAGCTGGTGAAATTACAGAAAGCACCAAGCTCATTGTCAATTCTCTTTTGTTTTTCTGTGAATACCCCACCATGCGATACAACCCTCTAACAATACTACATGCAAATCGTGTTTTGATCCACTCTATACAAGATTAGATCTGAGAAGGGCCCTGAGACTCACCAAATCCCATCTTGTCACTTCACAAAAAGTGAGGTGGTCTGCCAAAGGGTCCAAAAAATAAATGGCACAATCATCTCCAGAACTCAGGATTTTTTTTTTTTTTAAATGATTTTTGCTAGGGCTAGCAAGTGGTTGGACTCTCACATGGCTGACCATGGGTCAAGTCCCAGACCTGGCGGCTTGTTTTCTCACTTTCCCTCTCTCTCTCTCTCTGGTCAAATTAATAATAGTAATAATAATAATAAATAAATAAATAAATAAAGTTAAATAAAATACTTCTTTAAAAAAAGATTTTTGCCAGGGGCTGGCCGTTGGCATGGTGGGTAAGGGTGCTGGACTCCCACATGGAAAACCAGGGTTCGAGTCCCGGACCTGGCAGCTTGCGTCTTCACTTTCCCCCTCTCTCTCTCATTCTGTCCCTCTATGGTCAAGTTAAAATAAATAAATAAAGTTAAATAAAATAATTATTTTTAAAAAAGATTTTTGCTACAGGGGATGTGGGCTTGTCTCAGAGAGACAGAGAGAGGGAAAGTGAAAAATCACCCCGGGGGATGGAGTGTGGGGGGTGGACACACTGCAATCCCTTCTCCATTCTTCTCCCAGTAATTTGAGCATACATACACACACGCCCAGTGTGTTTTCAGGCCTTCAGGTCCAGGACTCCAACTGTAGAGTTGGCCATGTGGGATCCAGCTTTAACCACCATGCTACCTGATGACCAGGAACTCAGGACTCTTTTTTTTTGGAGAGGTTTTTGCTATAGGGCACGTGCACTCGCCAGAGAGTCAGAGACAGAAAGCGGGAAATCATCCGCCGGGGGGATGGCCATGCCACAATCCCTTCTCCTCCATTCTCCTCTCAGGATCTTGGGCACGCACACACACGTGTCTGGCGTGAGTTTAAGCCACTGGGTCCGAGACTCGAACCACGGTCGACTACATAGGAGTTCAGCAACATAGCCATTATGCTAACTGCTGGTCCCAACCGAGGACTCTTAATACCTTGCAAGATGCCTTTCCTACTGTATCATGCTTACCCTTACGAATTAAATTACTCTCTCTACCTTCTGCCAGAAAAAAAGAAAAAAAACAACGCAAAACAATATGGCTGAACACCCTGTACCTAGAAGCGTAACTACAAGTCCATGTGTGGAAAAAAGACCAAAAGAAATAAAAACCCTCTGTGGGTGCTGCTGACGAGCATGAGGGGGCCCATGAAAGCTCAGGAGGCTGGCACTGTGAGACTGAGCAAAAGCAGGAAGGGCAGGGGAGACTCAGCTGTTGAATGAGAAACAAACCCACCTGCTCAAACGCATTTGGAAGATGAACTAAAACCACGGCCACCTAAGCGGGGCATGTGGGCACAACACAGCAAAGGCCGGCTCCCACACACCAGCTCCCTGGCCACAGTGGAGTCATCCTGGCTGCAGCAGCCCTGTCCTCAATAAGCCTGCTTCCCATGGTGTTAGAACCTGGGCCTGACCCACATAACGGATAGCAGTGTGGTTCGGATCTGAACACTGCTTTCAACACTGCTATTCTCGTCCACCTCCTGTGTCCTCTACACCAGGAATGACATAAGGAAAAACACAGTGGTACCAGTCAGGGTCCCAGAATGGGAATATGGGAATATGGAGAGACAGGTTCACTGAGAAGATCCTCCAGTGCAAAATAGCATTCCCTCTAATCCCGTGTTACAATCAAGAATTGGTAGTTTCACATCTCATATCTCCTGCCCTTAATCCCTGCCTCCCCAAAGAGATGTCTGACTCTACTTATTCCAGCAATCGAGTTAACTTGAGAGCTACTGTCAAGTCCAAAATGACTTTTTTCCTTAACTAGAATTAACAACCCTGGTGGCATTTTCCTTTCCCCTGCCTTTTATGGTCAATAAAATTTCAAGTTTAGGGACACAACAGGAGCCTGACTATTTGACCAAATGAAACAGTCCAACTTCAAATGCAGGAAGCACCTACAGCCAAGGAGAAGAATTAGCCTGTACAGGGGAGGGGAGGGGAGAAGGCTAGTCAGTCTCCCGTCAATGGCCACCGAGACAAAGCTGTGACAGGCCAACGCAGCTGAGACAAAGTAGCCTGAGCAGGGAGGGTAGAACATAACAGGCTTCCCCATACGTAACAACTTTTGTTTTATTTTTTAAATTTTTGCCATAGGGTGCATGCAATTACTGGGGAGAATGAGAGAAAGTGAAGAATCATCCCCTGAGGGGGATGGCCACACCACAATCCCTTCTCCTGCATTCTTCTCTTAGGACTTCGAGCCCCTCATGAACAAGCACCTGGTGTGTGTCTCAAACACAGGTCAGGGATTCAAACTGCAGAGTCAGCCATGGGGGTCTAGTCACCTGAATCACGACACTAGCTGGGCCCTCAAATCTTTTTTTTTACAAGACAAAACATGGCATCAGCCATGTTTGTGTGTGCCCAAAGTCCCAAGAGAATGGAAGAGAAGGGATTGTCGTATGTCTAGCTCCCCCGGGAATGATTTCTCACTTTTCCCCTTTCTCTCTAACTCTAGTTCTCTCCCGGGCAAGTACAAACCCTACAGTAAACTGGGGGGGAAAAAAAAAAAAAGGTCCTTCACTGACGTATTTACGGTAGAGAGAACCATTTATGCAAGTGCCCTTTAAGTGATCTTTAATGTGATGAAAGACTATAAGGGGTTTCCCTTGGCCATTCAGTCCCTAGCCCTTCTGATGCCTGGTGAGAATGAGGTGGAGTTGTGGCATAACCAAGCAGACACTGAATACTGGAGTCAGCAATTCTGACATTGTTGGAGCCAGCAGGTGGTTTGGCGGGTAACTGTGCTAGACTCCCACATGGCAAGTCCCAGACCTGTTGGCTTGCTTTCTCACTTTCTTTCTCTTTCTCTCTCCCTCTCCTGCCAAATAAAAATAAATAAATAAAGTAAAAATCTTATTTTTAAAAAAAAATTAAAAAAAAAAAAAAAAGGAACCTGGAGGGCAAGACTTGAGAATTTGAGTCCTGCCAACGGCGCAAGCCAAGTTAATATTTCCCTATATAAAACATGGGAAATAGAAGGGGCCGGCAGGTGGCACAGTAGTTGAGGGCGCTGGACTCCCACATGGCCAACCAGGGTTCTAGTCTCAGACCTGGCGACTTGCTTTCTCACTTTCCTGCCTCTCTCTCTCTCTCCCTCTCTCTCTCTCTCTTTCTCTCTCTCTGTCTCTCTATTTCCCTCTCTGGTCAAATTTTTTAGATAAATAAATAAAATAAAGTTAAATAAAATAATGTTTTTAAATGGGAATAGAAATACTCATCACCCCAATGTAGTAAGGATGACAAGTACTAAAGGCCTTGCAGCCTAAGATAACAGACATAACTATGAAAATTCCAACTTTTACTTGGAAGACAATTGTAGGCTTCTTCATAGAAGTGACTTGCTTGAGTACATAAGAGAACAGCTAGCATATACTGAGTGTACGATAATGGGCGTTTTACATATATTAATTCCCTTTATCTCTACAACAGTCCTATGAGGTCAATAATACTCTTATCCGCTATTTACAGATGAAGAAACTGAGGCAAAGGTTAAATCACTGGCCCAAGGTCACCATGTCAGTAAGCTATACAGCCACGATTTGAACACAGAGAATTAACCCACAAGGGCCCCGAGTGGCTTACAAGCCCTCTGTCCACAGTTCCTCTCTATTAACCACTTGGCAGGTCATGAGCTTCCTGGGGATCATCAGCTCATTCACTGCCACATCCGCAGCGGGTGCAGTGCTTGACAGGGAGTATTTACTCTGTGAGTAAAATGAACAGACCATTAACCCTACAGCCACATATAGCCCAGTTCATTCCAGCCACATATAGCCCAGTTCACAGTCAAAACAGATTAGGTAGGGCCAGCAGCTAGTGTGCTGGTTTAGGTGCTGAACTCCCACATGACTATCCATAGTTCAAGTCCCAGACCCAGTGGCTTGAAAATGAAGCCAGAAGAGTGTGCATGCTCAAAATCCCGAGAGGAGAATGGAGGAGAAGGGACTGCTGTGTGACTATCTCTGTTGGGAAGTGATTTCTCACTTTCTCTCTCTCCAGCAAGCAAATGCACCCTACAGCAAAAAAACTTAAAAAAAAAAAAAAGATGAATACAAAGTCCCAGGTGACTAATTCCCTTCCAGATCTGCTGCTCCTACATCCCCCATGCAGGCAGGCTCCCAAGGGCGTCATCTCACACCAGCCCTACACTGCCCAAGGCAAGTCTGCCAACCACAAGTGGCTGCCGAGAACCAAAGCCATTACATAAGGCTCCCCTCCCCCGCCTTCCCTCTCAGTCAGAGACAGCACCCTCCACCCAGCTGGCACCCTCTTGTTCCCCTTCATCCTGCTCTCCTCCTGCAGCCCGGCCAGCTGGTCCCTGCTGTTCCAGTTGTAGTTCCATGCAGTCACTCCAAACACCTCAGTTCCTGGATCTCACCTGCCACGTCTGTTGCTCTAGTATCTCTCACCAATGTACTCACACTGCTGCTGGCACGCTCCTTCTAAGACACAAACGTGGCTGCGTCCTCCCTGTGCTTACAAAGCTGCGATGTTCCCCACAATATTACCACATCCTGAACTGGGGATCCAAAGTCCTTCTGGACAGGACCCAGACTCAACTTGCCTTACAGATGCCCCTGCTAGACACAGACTGTTCCAGACTAAAATTGGAGTTTCCACCTCCAGAAATTTACTTATTCTTGCCCTCCTGCCTGGCAAGCTTCTATTTCTCACTTGAGGCAGACCTCAATCGCCCCCTTTTCCACAGCCAGTGGAGGGCAGTGGGAGGGTGTGGTATTCTGGTTTATTCATGTGACAAATATGTGTTATTTGTCAAATACTGCTACCCTGGGGAGGTGGGAGTGCGTGAGCCAACTGTCCCCAGGAAGCTCATGGCCTTATGGTTCACAGGTCATAGCCACCTGTGATCCCCTCTGTAAGTCTGAAAACATATTTTTCCTCATTTTCTTTTTTAAGATTTCTTGATTTATTTATTTGTTATAGGGTATGTGCACTGACCAGAGAAACAGAGAGACAGTAAGCGAGAAATCACCCCTCAGGGGAGATGGCCATGCCACAATCCCCTCTCCTCCATTCTCCTCTCAGGATTTTGGGCATGTATGCACACGTGCCCAGCGTGAGTTTTAAGCCACCAGGTCCAGGACTCAAACCACAGTAGACTATATAGGAGTCCAGCAACATGACTATTACGCCATCTGCTAGTCCCTGTTATTATTATTTTTAATCTGACCAGAAACAGAGAGAGAGAAAAGGAAAGTGAGAAAGCAAGGTGCCAGGACCAAGATTTGAACCATGGCTGGTCATGTGGGAGTCCAGTGCCCTAACCACCAAGCTACATGCTGGCCCCTTTCCTTGATTCTTTTCTCAACACAGATCACTCCTGTGATCCCTGAAATGTATGGGGCTTTCGCCCCACCGGCAGGCCAGCAAGCAAATCTGCAGCAGACGCTCGCTGGGTACCCTACAGTCTAAGGCAGTGCTATGCACCTGGGCACTGCATCTGACCCCATGTGTTGGGGGCTCAGTCCCCAAGACTGACCTCACCCCTTCTAGATGTCAATCCCAAATCCGGAACTTCTGACAAACTGGCTACGAGTTGGGGTTTCTACAAAAACCCCTCCCATTCTCAGGTTCAATTTATTTGCTGAAGCGGTTCACAGAACTCAAGAGAAACACTTGATTAGGTTATCAATTTATTATGATGAATATATTTTTTAAATAATTATTTTATTTAACTTCATTTATTTTTAATTTTTACCAGAGAGGGATGGGGCGGTGGGGAAGAGAGAGAAAAAGAAAGTGAGAAATCAAGTCGCCAGGTCTGGGACTTGAACCGTGGTCAGCCATGTGGGAGTCCAGCGCCCTTAACCACCATGCCACCTGCCAGCCCCTATAACGGATATTTTAAAGGATACAGATGAAGAAATGGACAGGGTAAGACACGTGGGAAAGGGCAAGAGCTTCCACGCCCTCTCTGGATACACCACCCTCCAGAAACCGCTACGAGATCAGCTACCCTGAAACTCTCCAAACCCTATCCTTTGGGTCTTTATGGAGACGTCACTGTGTAGGCATTAAGATGCTAACAGATTGGGTGGGGAACCCCAGTAAGGCCTGTCTGTTCAAATTTTCAGCTTCTCTTGTGGACCTGCCTTGAGGTAGGTGAAAGGAGGGACTACCTCTCACATTTATCTTTCTGAAGCTGTTCTGAAGCTGCTTTTAGGAATCAAGAAAAGGCCAAATACTTATGAGCCAAGAACCATGGACGAAAACCAAAATAAATGTATCATAATACCATGTTCTCTCACGGCCACACCCAAGGCAGTAATGTCTTCACCCCTGTTTCCAGAGATCTTTATACAACCCTCTAACATAAAACTGCTCACACTGGAATTACTTCCCACTGATCTCCTCATTATACTGAGTTCCTGATGGACCACAATATTCATCTCAATCCCCAGACCCTAGCTGAATGACAGGGACATACGAGGCCTTATGGGAAGTCTTACTACTGAATTAAATATAATCATCACATTACAGGAAGACTTCTTGACGACCAGGGCATTCAGATTAAACAGAGCTGACATACCACTTGCCAGGCACCACACCAAATGCTGTGTATGCACTATCTCATTTAATTTTTTTTTCATTAAATTCTTATCATAACCTTCACAGGTAGATGGGGCCAGCAGGTAGCATAGTGGTTAATACAGCTGGATCCCAAATAGCTGACTACACGGTTTGAGTCCTGGACTCAGTGGCTTGAAAAACATACTGGGTACATGTGTATGTGTACCCAAAATCCTGAGGGAAGAATGGACAAGGGACTGTAGCATGCCCATTCACGGCAGGGGAGCAATGCTTTCTCTTTCCAGAGCCCTGTCTCTTTCCAGCAAGTGCACACGCCCTATAACAAATTTTTTAAAAAGTAGGTACTATGATTTCCATTTTACAAATAAGGGAATGGCTATCTGGAAAGGTTAGTTACTTGCCCTAAATCCCACAGCCCCAAGTACCGATGCCAGGATATGAAGCCAGGCACTGTAACTCTGAAGCCTACATGCTATGCTTGCTTTATAGACTGTGTTGTAACAGAATATAGTTATGTTTGGGGAAACCTCATCTGATCCACAGTGTAAATGAACCCACTGAAGAATGAGTTGGTTTAGAACTCAACAGTTTTAACCAATGCCTTTTCTCGTATTTTCATGTATAAAACATTCTATGAAATAAAATGGTGATAGCAATTGTATTCTGGTGTGGCTAGAAATTCAAGGCCTATTTTTCCTCAAAAAGATAACCCATTCCTGTTACTATATCTATTTTCTCCATTCATTTCTAATGCCTAAAAGAAGGACTCTAGTCGCTAAAAGAGAAGATTCTCTTTCCTGGTTCTCTGCATCAGAAAAAAGTAAAACCTATAGGAACACGGGCCCACCTACCTGAGACCTCTCAATGCATCTGTGAGGTGGGAGTGGACAAGGGCAGGAGTGTCTACAGAAGGCACCTCTGTCCTCTTCCCCTTGGAATTAGGGTGGGAGAGAAACGGAGAGGATCCTAAATAATCCCTCCTAGTTTGCTATGGAGGAAGACCAGGCCCTTCTCCAGCTGCCTCTCCCGGGCTTCAGGATCTTCTAGCTTCTGGTTTTTCCGGAACTCACGGCGGATGGAGGCAAAGTAGAAGTCACGATCAGTGTAGCGGAGCTCTCGGCCCTGGCGCAGCAGAGCCCGGTAGAGACTCAGCACCGCCTCTCTGCTCCACGGGGCCATGGGGGACTGGCAGGGGCTGGGCGACACGCTGTAAACAGAAGGAGAGACACAGAAGGCTGGATCAGAATAAAGACAGATGGCTCCGTGCAGAGGCGCTCCTGATCCAGGTTTCAGAGACCCTAAGGTCACACCATGACTTAGTGACCAGGCTGGGACTAGGTCCTGGCCTCTTCACTCTTCAACCTCAGAAAGAACAGGTTACTGCTCTGCAGGGCTCAGAAGTTGCACCTTCGGGATGGAATCCTGGCTCTATCACTCACCTACACATGACACTGGGCAAACCCTCTAAGCATCAGCTTCCTCACTTGTAAAATGGAGATAATGATGTGGTTAACAGCAGGACTACCGCCTAGGGTTATGTTGAGAATTGTTCGTGTAAAGCACCTGTGACAGGATTTTGTCAGGAGGTCATCTAGAGTGGTTCAAGACGAGAACTCACCATAGGTAGGCCATGGCACTCACGAGCGGCATCACCTTGGACAAGTTTCCTAACCGCTCTGACTGCCCAGTTCCTTATGTGTACAGTGAGGATGAAAATCCTTTTGCCCACGAGGATGGTATGAGCAAATGAGTTAATGTATGTGAACTTTAGAGCAGCACATACTCTGCCCTCTATCAGGGGGAGCTATTATTAGTGCTACATAGCCAGCTTTGTAAATGCTTGATAATTTATTTATTTATCCATAACTCACCACCACCTTCCGTCAATGACAATAAACTCTTACTCAAGCAGTGCTACCATTTGCAAAGTGCTTTGTCATCCATTATCACACTTAAACCAAGAACCTATCAGGTGGCCAGGGCTCACAACAATAGCGAACACTTATGGACCGCTTTCTATGTGCATGCATATTCTAAGCACATCTCACATAACAACGCAGCTCAACCCATCAGCATCCCCAGGGTCCACATTACTCTATTTTAAGTGGAGGAAACTGAAGCTCTCAAAAAGAAATAACCAGCCCACAGGGGCAGGACCCTAGAGGGGAGGGCTGCACCCTTGCCTCAACTCAGCCTGCCCTTGTAGTGACAGTTACAGCCTTACCACGTGTACGGCCCTTCTGAGTGCTCCAGAACTTTCCCAGCACAGTGCCTGGCCCATAGCAAGAGCTCAAAAGTACGCTGAATGGAAGAGGGACCCCCTCCCAATGTCCCTATGTAGAAGAAATGAGACTGAGCAGGGAAGGCAGTTGCCTGGAATACAGACTGGACTCTGAGCCCAAAGGCGGCTAGCCATTAGCCTCTGGCCCTGCTAACCTCCTGCGCGAGCTTGCGCAAGCCACCGTCCCGGCTCCGTTTTCAACCGTGACCGAGCTCCGTCCGCCCTAGGGCCACCGGCAGCGGGGCGATGCGGAAAATCAACAGGCGGGTGCTCCGAGAGGAAGGCGGCTGTCACGGCGGGTCTACAGCTGCTCCCTAACCCAGGGGGTCTGGAGCCCCTCGAGGCTAAAGCAAGCCGGATCCCGAGCCGGGAGGCCTCCGGAGGCTGGAGGGGGAACACGGAGGGGCCTGCCAGGGAAAAGCTCAGGGCGAGCTGGAGGCCAGACCCCCGGCTGCAGCCCAGTAGCAGGAGCCCAGGCCGGACGAGGGGCGCCCAGAGAGAAAGGGAGACAAGACCTCGGCCCGCGGGCGGCCGCCGGCTCTCACCCCTTTCCTCACTCACCCGCTGGCCGCGCGCGCTACCAATTCTTAGGACTCGCCTCTTGCCCGATACCTCTCTCGGGGTCACCCATCAATATGGCCCCTTCACTTCCGGGACACGACCTTGCGAACTGTGCTGAGGGAGGGACTTAAAGGAGCACAGAGTCGGGCGGAGGCTGAGGAACTTCCGGTGTTTGCCTCTCTTGCCTCTTTTCGGGGCGGGGCCACTACTTGCCACGCCCCTCATTCGGGGCCCCGCCCCACAGCCCTGCCCTGCCTTTGTGGTGACGTCATTCGAGGGCGGGCCTGTGGAGGCCTTTCAGGCCCCACCCCCGGGAGGACGCGGCGCGGAGCTCGGGCTGCGGGCGCTGCGGTGGTCCGGAGTCGGGCGGCGGAGAGGGCAGCGGGCGGTGTCTACTCCCACGACGGCGCTGCGCCGCTCGGTCCCCGCCTCCGGCCAGCCCGTGGGGTATCTGAGGGGCCGCTAACACCAAAAGGAGCACGTTCCCTGTCAGGGCTTCCCCGCGCGGCAAGGCCCTCTGCTCTGCTCTTTTATCCCTCCCTGCTGTTCTCGCTCCCAGGCCGCCTGGCTCCTGGCAAACTCCTACCCTTCCTTCAGGGTCTACCTCACATGTCCCTTTCGGAAGTTTGTCCCAGGCCCCTCGTCGTCTCCTCCAACGCTCTGTGCCTTCTTTGGCCCCACAAAAATGCCTGCACGCTGCCCTGATGGCCCGTAACCCGTTCAGCAGCTAAACTCATTCATTGGCGCCTGTTTGCCAGGCACTGTTCAATTTTCCGTCTGCTTCTCTGTCTCCCACTAGGTTTGAGGACAGGGTCCAGGTCTCTATGGACTCTGCAGTCTCCCCCCAGGGGCCCTCCGCTGAGCCAGACTCAGGCAGACCTGGGAATCCTTGGGCACTGGAGTCAGGCCAAGCTGGCTCTGGTGCCAGCTTCACCACCAAGGGCAGCCACCCTCTGGCTGGATTCCTAACCGACCTCAGCCTCGGGCAGGGAGGCGGTTGTGAGGATTAGGAGGTATCTAGCAGGAAGGGTGGTCACTGGGGGGTAACTGCCCACCGCAGGAAACAGCCGGACCACCTAGTGGGGAGGGCCAGGAGGAAGAGCTGAGGAGAGGATGGAGGGAATGCAGTGTGGCCCTGAGTGTCTGAAAAGGGGACTGCAGTGTGGCCCTGAGTGTCTGAAAAGGGGACGGGGTGGGGAAGAGCATTCCAGGTCTCTCTTCAGGTGGACCCTTAAGCTTGGAGTGTCCTAGGGGCAGCACGGAGGGGAGCAGGAGCTGGGGCCGTGGCTGGAGGTGAGGTCTTCATCAGGGTCAGGAGAGGGGAGACCATGTGTGCAAAGGAGCCACTGCAGGGTGTAGAGCAAAGGAACAAGGGGACCTGACTTCCATTGAATGGAATCCGTCCCCTTGAGAGTAACTGAAGGCCATGGGCCGAAGCAGGGAGGTCAGACTAGAGGCTGCTGCAGAGCCCTGCAGGGGATAGAGGCTGGGGTGCTGACCAGGGCAGTGACAGTAGAGGGGGAAGTGATCCTGGACGCAGGGAGAGGGAGAGAGGGCAGAATTTGCTGAGGTAGGGTGTGAGGGAGAAGGTTCACCAAGGCCTCCGGCATCTGCTGAGCAACTGTCCTGCTGCCTCCCTGCCCCGACCTGTTGAGAGCATGTTTCCAAGTTGCTAGAAGAACGCTGCTTTCTAGGAGGCTGAGGTCTTCACTCAGGAGAGGGGGAAGACTTCCTGGAACATAGGGAGCCCCAGCAGCACAGGGTAGTCTCTGAACCCCTGGGGCCTTTGGGAAAGGGAGGGGCCTGGGTAAGGACCTTCAGATCCCTTCACTCAGGAGCAATAGCGGGTGAGGAATATGGGTTATGGGAACCAGCAGTTAGCGTAATGGCTATGTCGCTGGACTCCCACGTAGTCGACCGCGGTTCGTGTCTCGGACCCGGTGGCTTAAATCTCACGCCGGGCACGTGTGCGTGCATGCCCAAGATCCCGAGAGGAGAATGGAGGAGAAGGGATTGCGGCGTGACCATCCCCCCTGGGGGGTGATTTCTCGCTTTTTGTCTCTATGTCTCTGTCTGTCTGGCGAGCGCACGCGCCCTATAGCGAAAACCTCTCCAAAAAAAAAAAAAAAAAAAAAGGAATATGGGTTAGGAATTGTTCCCCAGGCCTGGCTTGTATGGGGAAACGAGGAAGAAGCTCCGCTGTTATCTCCCTCGCCCCACTCCCACTGAGGCCGCACCAACACCTAGGGCTGTCTTTAAGCACCTGCTATGTGCCATGCATGGGACTTGGAATGCACTCATGCACACGAGAGAATGAGGGTGAAAGCACCCACGCCAGGGTCTCATCATGCCGTGACCCCTCCTCCAGGCCTCACGACCTTCGGTGACTTCACACACACTCAACATGTTTCAGGTTGACCAGGCTAGGAATTCCAACGGGTGTCGACCATGTGGCTTCCAGCACTGCAGTCAGGAACCCTACCAACTGCACTACCTTGCTGGGCCTGGACTTGGTTCTTTATAAACATATTATGTCTAATCCCAGCATCCCAAATGGGGACATCCCCAAACAGGGACGCTGAGATTAGACGTAATTATCCCAGTTTTATGGATGAGAAAACAAGATGAAGGGAAGTTCAGTAATTTTCCGTAGACACTGAGCTAGACAGCGGAGGAGCTTGTGATGGAACCAAGTCAGTCTTCTTCCACAATGCACGTTCGTTCCACTCTCTCTGAGTGCCCTCCTTTGCTCTTTAATGATTACGTAACCCACATATACCTAAATAGTTACAGTTCCAGCTGGAAGACCAAAAAGACCTTTCACATCCCTCCTGATCTTCCTACTCCACAGAATGTGATTTTTAGGAGGGAAGGACAGAGGAAGAGCCTTTGGGGGATCCTGCCCTTCAGATCACCTGCCACAGACTCCTCTGGGTCTTCTGGGTCTTCTCTTTACTTCCAAACTCACAAGGCCGCTCCCCGCCCCAACGCTACCCTGACAATAGGGGATGGATAGAAAAGCAGGAGTCTGGCACCTAAGCGTATCTGTGGTGCCTTTGTACACAGAGACCCATGGCAGGGAGCACGGACCCTCTCTCACAGGGCTGTTGATTCAATGAGACAGG